AACAGTTTCTTGATTTTACAGGAATTCACAGATAAGAGTCTGCCTTGAGTTGGGAGCCAGTGGCTCACGCCTGTACTCCTAGCTACTCAGGAGGCAGAGATCAGGAGGATCAAGGTTCGAAACCATCCCGGGCAAACAGTTCAAGAGACCCTATCTGAAAAAAAAAAACCTTCACAAAAAAGGGCTGGTGAAGTGGCTTAAGGTGTAGGCCCTGAGTTCCAGCCCCAGTACTACAAAAAAAAAGTTTGCCTTGAGTCTCAGAAGAGATTTGGGATTTGGATTTTTGATTAATGTAGCAACTGTTAAAACTTTGTGGATTCATGGAAATGAACTGTGAGTCTTTTGAGGGCTAACGAGGGTTGGAATGTTATGGTTTATAGTGATGTGTTTGGGTGTTAAGTTGACCAGGCATGGATTTATGATGGCTAGTCTTGATTGTCAACCTGATTGGATTAAGAAACACCTAGAGATTAGTGAGTGCATTTCTAGTGACAATTAAATCATGAAGGCTCTGACTTAATCAATAGATTAATCTAACAGTTCTGTTCCAACATACCCTGCCATGACAAACTGAACTCTCTGAAACCAAATTAAATTCTTCCTAAAAAGACCCCCCCAAAACCAAAAACAATTCTGCATTACTATTCCTAATGGTTAGCAAACAAGACTTGAATTCTATCATAGCATATTTATAATTCCATTAACAGCATTTTGCTTGTGTAAGGGAAGTGCTCCAACCTACCAAGATGACTTTAAATTGCAATTCTGTCACCTAACTCAGAATGACTATTCCTTCTAGTGTTCTGTCATGTACAGATTATTATGTATTTTTTTGGCAGTACTGGGGTTTGAACTCAAGAGCCTCATACTTGCTAGGCAGGCACTCTAACACTTGAGCTAGTCCACCAGCCCTCAAATGCCAGATGTTATGTGTTGATTGAGCCACTGAGTTTGTCAGAAGCTTTGAAATCCATTATGTCATGTGGTTTCTAGAGACAATGAAGAGCAACACCTCCATTTTACAGATGGGAAAACCTTGGAAAAATTAAGTAATTTCTTTAAGATCAAAGAAACATGTGGAAGAGACCTGGATCCCAGCTTTGACACATTTTTTGGTTTTGTTTTGTTTTGTTGCTGTACTAGGGATTGAATTCAGTACATGCGAGGCAAGTACTCTATCACTTAACCACTCTCTCAGCCCTTTTGTTTGCATTTTGTTTTTGATTCAGGGTTTCCCCAACTTTGCCCAGGCTGGCCTTGAAGTCAAGATCCTCCTGTCTCCCTGAATAGAGAGGATTACATGTGTGCACCATCACGGCCAGTTCCAGATTGGCCACTTAATAGTAGTGTGATTCTATCATTTTCCTAAGGCTCACTCAATTGGAAAACAGAAATGACAACGGTATCTCTTGCAATGAGCAAAGAAACATATGTTAAAGCATCTAACACACAGCACTTTATATAAAAAGTACTCAATAAATGTTATTTTCCTCAACCTCTTCACACAACATGGGATTCCTGGCATGGTATTCTTTCCAAACACCATGCCGCTACTTTTGTTTTTCTTTTTGTATTCTCATTTTCTTTGGTTTCTTTATTCATTTATTCATATGTGCATACATTGTTTGGGCCGTCTCTCCCCCTCTCTCTCCTCCTTGCTTCCAGGCAGAACCTGCTCTGCCTTCTTCTCCAATTTTGTTGAAGAGAAGATATAAGCAATAATAACAAAGACATAGCGTTTTTGCTAGTTTGAGATAAGGATAATTATACAGACAGATTCCTAGCATTGCTTCCATGCACATGTGTATTACAACCCAAATTGGTTCATCTCTACCAGACCTCTTCACTACTTCCCAGTCACTCCCATAGTGACCTCTGTCATTTTAAGGTTACTATATTAGCTCCTCTACAGTAAGCACATCAAATACTTTCAAGTTTTGGGTTTCCTACCTTTTCCTATTCCTCCTGTATGTGTTCTCCCCTTAGCATAGGACCCATGTCCAATAATATTACTGCATTTGTTTTAGGTCTGAAGTCTGCATATGAGGGAGAACATACGATTTTTGGTCTTCTGAGCCTGGCTAACTTTGCTTAAGATGATGTTCTCCAGTTCCATCCATTTACTTGCGAATGACAAGATTTCATTCTTCTTCATGGCTGAGTAAAATTCCATTGTGTATAAATACATTTTCTTAATTCATTGATAAGTAGTGGGGCATCTTGGCTGTTTCCATAACTTGGCTATTGTGAATACTGCTGCAATAAACATGGGTGTGCAGGTGCCTATGGAATAACCTGAGTCGCATTCCTTTGGGTATATCCCTAGGAGTGGGATTGTTGGATCATATGGCAGATCTATGTTTAGTTTTTTAAGAAGCCTCCATACTGTTTTCCAAAGTGGTTATACTAGCTTACATTCCCACAATCTGTGTAAGAAGGTTCCTTTTTTCCCACATCCTCGCCAACATTTGTTGTTGGTGGTGTTTTTGATGACAGCTATTCTAACGGGGTGAGGTGAAATCTAAGTGTGGTTTTAATTTGCATTTCCTTTATGGCCAGAGATGGTGAGCATTTTTTCATGTGTTTTTGGCCATTTGGATTTCTTCCTTTGAAAAAGTTCTGTTTGGTTCAGTTGCCTATTTCTTAATTGGTTCATTGATTTTGGAGGAGTTTAATTTTTTGAGCTCCCTGTATATTTTGGTTATCAGTCCCTTGTCTGATATATAGCTAGCAAATATTTTCTCCTACTCTGTGGGTGGTCTCTTTAGTTTAGAGACCATTTCTTTTTCATGTTTTTAATTTCATGTAGTTCCATTTGTCCACCCTTTCTCTTAGTTGCTGGGCTGCTGGGGTTCTACTGAGGAAGTCCTTGCCTATACCTATTGCTTCCAGAGTATTCCCTATTCTTTTCTGTATTAGCTTTAGAGTTTTGGGTCAGATATTAAGGTCCGTGATCCATTTTGAGTTGATACTAGTACAGGGTGATAGGCATGGATCCAGTTTCAGTTTTCTGCAGGCAGATAACCACTTTACCCAGCACCCTCTACTTCTTAACACCTTCTCCCTAACTGTAATGAAAGGCAGCAAAGGACGTGATTTTTTTGGTGATCACCATGTGATATTAAATCAGAAACCTCAGTAAAGTCCAGTTACCTCATAATTTTAAGTGTAACAAAGTACTTCCTTTTATCCATATGTCCTCTGTAAAAGTCGAAAATAAAATTGATCTACCAAGATTTGTTCTTTATAAGATCATGAAAATGTTCTTCAATACCTTCTGTTCTGTTTAACTGCCAAATAATTTACTTGATTTGTTCTGATCAGACATTACTCAAAAAAAAAAAATTAAGATGACCTTATCATTTCCAAAGTTACCTTTTTTTCCCTTAAAATATTCTTTGTCTGTTATCAGATACTTCCATTCAACATGATTTCTCAAAAATAAAGGCTAATAACTTGGCACTGGGTTCTTTTCCTTCACATTTGCATAAAGAGAACATCTAATACTAAACCAGAAGCACTAGTCATGCCAAATGTGGCCACAGTAATTAGGATTTCCTGTCAATTGGGCAGCATTTTCTTAAGAAAAGATAAAAATGTTAGGAAGTAGTAAGATCTCTTGTAAAGCAAAATTACTGCACAATTAATCTTTTTCTTCCCTGGATGGCAAAGATGTCACAAAGCACATGCTTTTTGGCTTCCAAGAATTTAAAATACTCCCATGCCTTCAAACAATCTGGAAGTAGACATTAAAAAGCAAAGGAAATTTTTTCAATCAAGTGTTCCTCTCCTAACTCTACCACTTCCCCTACATTTAAAGGCATATTGGGAGCTTACAATCAGAAGCACCACAGAGAAAATAGTACCATAGGAACAGTTCATTTGTGCTTGGCACAGTGAAGGGTCACTGCCAATCTTTAATAGTATGAACTCAATAACTTTCCAAAGTCAAAAATGAGGTTTGGACATGAGCAGCTTTTCAAAGTAGCTTTGTTTGAGGTCCTATACCTAATGTTAAAATTTTAAAACCTATTAAGAGTTGGTAGAATATAGACAAATGTAACCTATCACTTGAATTGCTAAAAAAAGCACTAAGCTAAGATATTTGCTTTATTCATTCAGTTATTATTGAGCTAACGTCATAAAAAGATGAAAATTTATATTTTTGGTTCTTTAACTCAGCCAACAATAACCAATACTACTTATCCTACTAATTTTCTGAGTCTGACAGAGGATAAATGCAGCAATTAACTGTACTTTAAAATTTGTTGTTCAAATTTTAAAGTACAAAGCAATGTGAGATAAAACTGTATTCTTTTTAAACATGTAAGCATATATGATGAAGTCATTTTAATTGTGCCAGCCCCACTGGCCAAACACAATATCGACAAAGTAATTGTAGTGATATTTTCTTAGCCCTTTATGGAGATACATTTATCGACAAAGACAAATTTTTATTTTGTGTGTGTTAGTTTCTACTAATTTAGGTCCACTTTTAGAGCTTAATATTTACAATAAATCCAATATGAATTCACTTAATCAAAAAGTGCAAATATGGAATATTATCTCATAAAATCACTAAGCTTTCTCCCATTTAAAAAAAAAATTTACTTTTTGGCAGTACTGGGGTTAGAACTCAAGGCCTCAGGGCACTTGCTCGGTAGGTATTCTACAACTGTAGCTAAGCCCCCAGGCCTTTTTGTTTCAGTTTTTTTTTTTTTTTTGGGGGGGGGTCTCATGTTTTTGTTCAGGTGGTCCTGGCGCATAATGCTTCTATTTATACCTCTGGAGTAGCTGGGATTATAGACACAAATAATCATGCCCAGCCAAGTATCTTCCATTTTATATCACGAATATTTCAATATTATTGCAAAAATACTTTTCAGTTTTAAATAAGTTTTTAACTTCATTGATATCCAAACTAAGAAAGTCAAACATGTTAATGGTTCCAAACAAAACCCAATAGCCCTACTCTTGTTCCACAGGAATCCTCAACTTACCTCATCTCCCTTCAAAACTTCAGTCCCATCAAATTCACGGGTCTGATTTGTCTTTACTGACACTTCTCTCTCAAGACTGGCTAACTTCTCCTTGGCATCCTGAAGTTCATCAGCTTTGGCTTCTTTTTTACGAGAAATAATGGACGCCTAATTGAGCATTTAATATGAACAGAAAATAAGACATAGTCATCTTTGTATTATCTTGTGGAATTACCTATTTTTAATAATTTTTCAGTAAATTCAGTAATTTTTTCAGTATCAGCTGGCTTCTTCTGACTACTTGCTCTACTACCCATCTTTATCAATTATGTATTAGGCAAGAATATATAATGTATATTAAACATCAACCTAAAAACATTTTGAAAGACAAAAGCCCTGAAAAACACAGAAACATATAAAAAAGAGAAATAAAAAATAACCAATAAAATATTCAAGTCTTGGTGCTGGGGGTGTAGCTCAGGGGTTGAGTGTTTGTCAAGCATGAGTAAGGACTGGGTTCAATCCCCAATACCACAAAAAAAAAAAAAAAAAGAAAAGAAAGAAAAAAAAATTTCAAATCTTCTGAAGTAACATTCAAATGATAATTAAAGTACCTTTCAGGGAAGTAAACTCTGTGAGAAAACAAGATTGCTTTATTTTCAGAACTACAACACAAGTCATCCTACAAATTCAACTCATACTTTTAAAATGAATGTTTAGAAATAGCTATACATTTGGGGCATTCTAATAAATAAAATGCAGGTATGAAATCAAACATCTAATTCATCAGAATCATAAAAATGTTTATACAACCCAAATGTCTGCTCTTAGCCACAAATGCAGCATTTTATATTAGCTACCAGCTCTTGAGGGTATTTCCTTAAATGAATCATGACTCTACTTAAGAAAAACATCAGTAGGGTCATAATACAAAGTGTATTATTAAGTGAAATAGTACAAACTGTATTCAAATTTAACATAAGAAGGTAAGCACTTTAAAAAATGATTGCCTTTCCTCTTTTAAAAAAATGAAAAGAGAGGTGATGAGAGAAGGTTTCTCTATATTCCAGTTTAAAAGATAAAGAAAGAAGATTCCAAGATGGCGGCTAGAGGGAGGAAGCAGAAAGTGTGCTTCCTAAAGTAAAATCTTGGAGAGACACATTACAGGAAAAACCACCAAGAAGCAAAACTTTGACTCCTCCACACCTCCAGCCTGCTCATAGCATTCCCACTTCACATTAAACAGAGAAACCAGGAGTGTTCCCACGCTGCCTCCAGACGCCAGTGCCCAGACGGCTTGGGAAGACACAGACCACAAGTTGAGCTAAGCAGCACAGGATACTCCCACAGACAACCCTGGGACAGATCAGCACAGCCCCCTGGACAGACCGACCCCCACCCAGGGAAAAAAGAAAAAAAAATGAATAATAAGCAATAACAACAAAAAAGACACGCAGCAAAGAGGGCAGAGCTCCCTGAGCCCGAAGGTGGGCAGGAGCAATCCCTCATGGAACTGTAAATAAACAAGCCAGCCAGAGAAGGCAGGAGTGGCGGCACACGCCCAGCAACCAGGAGCAGGAAAGCTTGTAAAAGCAGCAGTGGGAGGAAAACTTCACAGGAGAGGGGGGCAAGGCCAACTTCCCACATGAACTGTAAATAAACATGCTGGCCTAACAAAGCTGGTGCAGTGTCACCTCCCCCAGTATGCTTGGGAAGGGGAAAGCTTATAGCAGTGGCAGTCGCACCCAGGAGAACTCTAAGTAAACAAAGCCTGTGCAGCCAGGTGAGTGATAAGCTCACCCCAGAGATCTGCATAAAGAATGCCTCCAGCAACAGCAGGCTGACAGCAGCGGGCAGGTGAGCCGCAGCCTCAGATAGCCATTCACAGAATTGTCTCCAGACTCTTTTTTTTTTTCTCCCTTCCTTTGATGAGACAACAACTGAACTACACCTGCATGCTGAAAAACTTACTGAAACTGTATTGCACTTGAACTTGGGACACTTTATGGTGTTTTTTTTTGTTTGTTTGGTTTGGTTTGGTTTGGTATTTTTCCCCTTTGATGAGACAACAGAACTACTTCTGAGACACCATCTCCAGGATTGGAGGCTGAGGGACGAACACCAAAATTATTAAGACTGAAACTTTATTGTATTTGAACTTGGAGATTTTTAAATTTTTTTTTTAATTTATTTTATTATTTTTTTCTCAATCCTCGCTCTCTAATGCCTGTTCAGCTTACAGTTGATTAGTACACTCTCTACCTGTTTATATCGTTGAATTTTTGTTTGTTTGTTTTGTTTTACTTGTTTATTTGTTTTTCCCTCTTTCTTTAACTTCTTTGCTTTCCCTCTCCTCTCACCCTTCCATTCTAAATATCACCCATTGTTATTATTACAAAGCTAGAAAATACTTAATTGCACACAGTACAGGGACAATAACAAAACCAAGGACAATGATGGGAAGACAGAAAAAACAGGGAAACCAGTTTCCCCAGAGCAAAAAATTAGTACAGGAACTTGAGGGAAATGAAGAAAACAGGTACTCAGATCCAGACTCCAACAAAATGAAGATAAACGATGCCAAAGAACACAATGAAGCCCACAAGAATAATCTAAAAGAAGACATACTACAGGTACTCAATGAGAATTTTATAGAGATGATACTGGATATGGTCAACCAAAATGTACAGGAGACACTCAAGAAAAGAAATTCCAAGAAAACAAAAATAGAGAATTTGAAAAAGCACAAGAAGAAATAAAAGAAACCATAGAAGTCTGTATAAACACCAAAGTGAAACAAAGAACACGATTAATAAAGAGATAAATGAACTTAGAACAAAAATAGACAACATTAAAGAGGAAACAACTCAGGATATGCAAAACCTCAGAAAAAAAGAACGAAACAGAATTGCGAAACAAAATGGAAGGCCAATCCAGCAGAATAGAACAAACAGAAGACAGAATCTCAGAACTCGAAGATGAAATGGTAATTAAAGGAAAAACCGAAAAAACTATTAGTTAAACAACTCAGCCCTGTGAAAGAAAATGCACGAACTCACTGCCTCCATCAAAAGACCAAACCTGAGAATCATGAGCATAAAAGAAGGAGAAGAGGTGCAAGCAAAGGGAATGCGTAATATATTCACAAAATAATAACAGAAAATTTCCCAAATCTAGAAGAATTCTTTCCATACAGATGCAAGAGGCCTCCAGAACACACAACAGACCAGACCAAAATAGTCTACCCGCGCATATTATCATTAAAACAACAAATACAGAGACCAAGAAAGAATATTGAAGGCAATAAGAGGAAAAAACAAATAACATACCGATAACCCATCAAAATCCAGAAGACTTCTCACAGAAACATTAAAAGCAAGAAGAGCTTGGGGTGAGATCTTCCGGCACTGAATGAAAATAACTTCACCCTAGATACTCTACCAGCAAAACTATCATTCAAAAATTAGATGGAGCAATAAAAGTCTTCCATGATAACAGAAACTAACAATATATGACCACAACCACCACTACAAAAGATTTTCAGGGATTCTGCCCACAGAAGTGAAAACCAACATAACCATGGAAAGGGCAGGCAAGCACCAAACTACAGGAAAAAAAAAGCAAGACAGCAGAGAGTAACCTCAATAGGTACACACAATAACTTCAACAACTAAGACAACTATGACAAAGGAATCCAACCACATACCTTCAGTACTACACTTAATGTTAATGGACTTAACTCCCCATCAAAAAGGCACCATTTGACAAAACTGGATTCAAAAGGAGGATCCAACAATTTGTTGCTTAAGGAGACCATCTCACCAACAGAAGCTAAGCATAGGTTAGGAAGAAAGGCTTGGGAAGAAGCTTTACCAAGTCAACGGCCCCAGAAACAGGCAGGAGTAGCAATACTTATCTCTGACAAAGTAGACTTCAACCTACATTGGTCAAAATGAGATAAAGAAGGACATCCATACTCATAAAAGGGGAAATAGACAAAAGGAAGTAACAATTATCAACTATATGCACCCAATGTCAACACACCAATTTCATCAACATACCCTGAGGACCTTTAAAAGCATATATTAACTCTCCAACACAGTGGTCGTGGGAGACTTTAACACCCATTATCATCATAGATAGGTCATCTAAAATATACCATAGATCAAATGGACTAGTTGATGTCTACAGAACATTTCATCCAACTTCTACACAATATACATTCTTCTCAGCAGCCCATGGAACCTTCTCCAAAATAGATCATATCCTAGGGCACAAAGCAAGCCTCAGCAAATATAAGAAAATAGAAATTATACCATGCATTCTATCTGATCACAATGCAATAAAACTAGAACTCAACAACAAAAGACAAAAAACATGCAAACAGCTGGAAACTGAATAACTCATTGCTTAATGAACAATGGGTCATTGATGAAATAAAAGAGGAAATTAAAAAGTTCCTGGAAGTCAATGAAAATGAAAACACAACCTACCAGAACCTATGGGACACAGCAAAGGCAGTCCTGAGAGGAAAGTTTATAGCCATGAGTGCATATATTAAAAAGACTGAAAGATCCAAATCAATGACCTAATGATACATCTCAAACTCCTAGAAAAACAAGAACAAGCAAATCCCAAAACAAATAGAAGGAGAGAAATAATAAAAATAAGAGCTGAAATCAATGAAATAGAAACCAAAAAAACCATACAAAGAATTAATGAAACAAAAAGTTGTTTTTTTGAAAAAATAAACAAGATCGACAGACCACTGGCAAACCTGACTAAAATGAGGAGAGAAAAAAATCCAAATTAGTAGAATCAGGAATGCAAAAGGGAGATAACAACAAAACACCATGGAAGTCCAGGAAATCATCAGAGACTACTTTGAGAACCTATATTTAAATAAATTTGAAAATCTTAAAGAAATGGACAGATTTCTAGATACATATGATCATCCAAAACTGAACCAAGAGGATATTAATCACCTGAATAGATCTATAACACAAAATGAAATTGAAGCAGCAATCAAGAGTCTCCCCAAAAAGAAAAGTCCAGGACCTGATTTCTCTGCTGAATTCTATCAGACCTTTAAAGAAGAAACTGATACCAACCCTCCTTAAACTGTTCCACGAAATAGAAAGGGAAGGAAAACTGCCTAACACATTTTATGAAGCCAGTATTACACTTATCCCAAAACCAGGCAAAGACACCTCCAAAAAGGAGAACTATAGGCCAATCTCCTTAATGAACATTGATGCAAAAATCCTCAACAAAATAATGGCAAACCAAATTCAACAACACATCAAAAAGATTATTCACCACGACCAAGTAGGCTTCATCCCAGGAATGCAGGGGTGGTTCAACATACAAAAATCAATAAACGTAATAAACCACATTAACAGAAGCAAAGACAAAAACCACTTGATCATCTCAATAGATGCAGAAAAAGCCTTTGATAAGATCCAACACCATTTCATGATAAAAGCTCTAAGAAAACTAGGAATAGAAGGAAAGTACCTCAACATTATAAAAGCTATATATGACAAACCTACAGCCAGCATTATACTTAATGGAGAAAAACTGAAACCATTCCCTCTAAAATCAGGAACCAGACAAGGATGCCCACTATCTCCACTCCTATTCAACATAGTACTGGAATTCCTAGCCAGAGCAATTAGGCAAGAAGAAGGAATAAAAGGAATACAAATAGGTAAAGAAACTGTCAAAATATCCCTATTTGCACATGATATGATCCTATACCTTAAAGACCCAAAAAACTCTACTCAGAAGCTCCTAGACACCATCAATAGCTATAGCAAGGTAGCAGGATATAAAATCAACATAGAAAAATCATTAGCATTTCTATACACTAACAATGAGCAAACTGAGAAAGAATATATGAAAACAATTCCATTTACAATAGCCTCAAAAAAATCAAATACCTAGGTGTAAAACCTAACAAAGGATGTGAATGACCTCTACAAGGAAAACTATAAACTTCTGACAAAACCTACAAGCCAGCATTATACTTAATGGAGAAAAAACTTGAAACCATTCACATCTAAAATCAGGAACCAAGATTAAGGATGGCCCACTACCTCTACTTCCTATTCAATACAGTTTTACTGGAATTTCCTAGCCAGAGCAATTAGGCAAGAAGAAGGAATAAAAGGAATACAAATAGGTAAAGAAAACTGTCAAAATCCCTGTTTGCACATGAATGATCCTATACCTTAAAGGACCCAAAAAAACTCTACTCAAAAGTTCCAGACACCATCAATAGTTACAGCAAGGTAGCAGGATATAAAATCAACCATAGAAAATCATTAGCATTTCTATACACTAACAATGACAAACTGAAAAGAATATATGAAAACAATTCCATTTACAATAGCCTCAAAAAAATCAAAATTACCTAGGGTTAAACTTAACAAAGATTGAATGACCTCTCAAGGAAAAACTATAAATTCTGAAGAAGAATTGAGGAAGACATATAGAAAGGGAGAGATCTCCCTGCTCATGGATTGGTAGAATCAACATAGTAAAAATCGATTACTCCCAAAAGCCAATCTACATGTTTATGCAATTCCCATCAAAAATCCAATGACATTTCATAAAGAGATTGAAAAATCTACCGTAATATTATATGGAAACACAAGAGGCCACGAATAGCCAAGGCAATACTTAGTCAAAAGAACAATTGCTGAAGGTATCATGATACCCGACTTCAAACTGTATGACAAAGCAATAACAATAAAATAGCGCATGGCTCTGGCACAAAACAGAACATGAAGACAAGTGGAAACAGAATGAGGAAACCCAGATGAACCCACACAACTATAACCAAACCTGTCTTTGACAAAAGGCGCTAAAAAATATACGAGGGAGAAAGACAGCCTCTTCAACAAAACTGCTGGGAAAACTGGTTAGCAGTCTGCAAAAAACTGAAACTAGATCCATGTTATCACCCTATACCAATATTAACTCAAAAAGTTGATCAAGGATCTTAATATCAGAACCACAAACTCTAAAGTTGGTACAGGAAAGAGTAGGAAATACTCTGGAATTATAGGTATAGGTAAGAACTTTCTCAATGGAACCCAGCACAGCAATTAAGAGATAGCATAGATAAAGGGACTTCATAAAACTAAAAAGCTTCTGCTCAACAAAAGAAATGGTCTCTAAACTGAAGAGACCACCCACAGAGTGGGAGAAAATATTTGCCAGCTAACATATCAGACAAAGGACTGATAACCAAATATATAGGGAACTTAAAAAACTAAATCTCCCAAATTAATGAACAATAAAGAAAGGGCAAGTGAAACTAAACAGAACTTTCTCAAAAGAAGAAATTCAAATGGCCAAAAACACATGAAAAAATGCTCACCATCTCTAGCAATAAAGGAAATGCAAATTAAAACCACACTAAGATTCCTACCACACTAAGATTCACCTCACCCCTGTTAGAATAGCCACATTACAAACCACCACTAACAACAGGTGTTGGCGAGGATGCGGGGGGAAAAAGGAACCCTCTTACACTGCTGGTGGGAATGTAAACTAGTAAAACCACTCTGGAAAAAATTTGGAGGCTACTTAAAAGCTAAAGCATGATCTACCATTTGATCCAGCAATACCACTCTTGGGGATATACCCAAAAGACTGTGACACAGGTTACTCCAGAGGCACCTGCACACCCATGTTATTGCGGCACTATTCACAATAGCCAATTATGGAAACAGCCAAGATGCCCCACCACTGATGAATGGATTAAGAAAATGGGTATCTATACACAATGGAATTTTATGCAGCCATGAAGAAGAACGAAATGTTATCATTCTGGTAAATGGATGGAATTGGAGAACATCATTCTGAGTGAGGTTAGCCTGGCCCAAAAGACCAAAATCTATGTTCTCCCTCATATGTGGACATTAGATCAAGGGCAAACACAACAAGGGATTGGACTTGATCACATGATAAAGCGAGAGCACACAAGGGAGGTGAGGATAGGTAAGACACCTAAAAAACTAGCTAGCATTTGTTGCCCTCAACGCAGAGAAACTAAAGCAGATACTTAAAGCAACTGAGGCCAATAGGAAAAGGGGACCAGGAACTAGAGAAAAGGTTAGATCAAAAGAATTAACCTAGAAGGTAAAACACATTGCACAGGAAATCAATGTGAGTCAACTCCTGTATAGCTATCCTTATCTCAACTAGCAAAAACCCTTGTTCCTTCCTATTATTGCTTATACTCTCTCTACAACAAAATTAGAGATAAGGGCAAAATAGTTTCTGCCGGGTACGAGGGGGTGGGGGAGAGGGAGGGGTGGTAAGGAGGGGGTGGGGTAAGGGGGAAGAAATGACCCAAACATTATATGTGCACATAGGAATAATAAAAAAAAAATTAAAAAAAAGAAGAATAAAAGAAGAAGTAGAAAAGCAGACTATATGGTAACTAAAGATAGTATACTTTCTTAACATGATAAAGTAAGTAAATATAAATCTCAGCCCAAATTCAGGATTTACCCAGGACAGAGGAACATGAGATATTTCTCACTAAAGTCAAGAATAAGATAAAAATGTCCAATAACTCCACTACAATTCAATATTACACTGAAGGCATCAGCTAATACCTTCAATAAGAGAAAAAATAAGAATTTGAAAGGAAAATTGGAATTTGTATATAATTATGTATCTCAAAAAAATGGAAAAACTACAGTGAACAAATCAAAAGCTTTTATAGAAAAACAAAATTAGTCAGAATGTATATGGAAAGAAAAGACCTTACAAACTAACTTTAAATCTAAAAACGTTTTTAACTCATTAAAGATATAAATTTTTTACTTATACCTCCTAACATAAGCTTTCATGTAAAAATGAAATTCCACATTCACCAATAGAAACACAATAGCCCTATCTTGCTAAAGAAGCTAAGCATTATCAGGTGTATAGCATTTCAAACAGGAACTGATGTCTTTTGTGGCTTTCCCACTAATTTTTTGTTATAATCTGGAGATTAGAAGTGACAGAACATTTATTCTTTTCTTCCTTCTCACTTTAAGACTATACAACCAATGGCTTTGATGATGGATTTCACCCATAAGATTACATTTAAATATGTGGGTCAAGCACGTTCTTACCTGTTGCCTATACAATGAGAGATTACCTTCAATTGGCTCATTTCTCATCATTTTCTTTTCAATCAGCTGATTGATCTCTGTGTTTATTTCACTGATCTAAAACAGTATGAAAGTAAAAAGTGTTAAAAGTCTCCCTATGATTACACAAACTAAGCGACATCTGGCCAAATCCAGTTTTGAATTTACATTCCTACCATCAGTGATTTGATGGGAACAATAGTTCCATTTGTGTTATGAGTGGATTGTTATGATTACTTTTAGAAATAGTTTACACATCGTGATATATTTAAGCAATTTGACTACTAATATGAATTTAATCATTAATGTCTAAATTATCTGAAAGTATTTTACGTGAAACATTTATACATTATTACAAAAACATGCTTTCTAAAAATCTGAAGTGAAGCCAGAGGTGGTGATGCATGCCTATAATCCCAATTACTCAGAAAGGGGAGGAGGCAGGAGGATCTCAAGTGCAGACAGCCCATGTCAGAAATACAGTAAGTCTTATTGACCACAACCCCTCCCCAGCTGCAGAAAAAAAAAAAAGTTGCCACCTCTTGGCACAGGTTAATTTTAGAGTCATGAATGGGACACTACAGAAAACAATTCACATAATTTTCATAGGACTGGGGATGAAATAAAATTGGAGGCTATAAACTGGGAGGACCTGTAATCCTAGCTACCTGGGAGGCAGAGATCCAGAGGATCACAGTTGGAGGCCAGCCTGGGCAAAAAGTTAGTGAGACCCTATTTCAATAAAGAGCTGGGTGTGGTGGTATATATCTGCCATCCCAACAGTGAAGAAAGAATGAATAGGAGGATCACTGTCCAGGCTGGTCTAGGCAAAAACGCAAGACTCTATTTGAAAAATAACTAAAGCAAAAAGGCTGGGGAAAAAATAGCTCAAGCGGCAGAGCACTTGCCTGGCAAGTTCAAGTTCCTGAGTTCAAATCCCAATACCACAGCAAAAAAGGGGAAGACTATAAAAAGATGATTGTCACTTACTTTAGATTCAATTTCAAGAAGATCAGAATGGCCCATTGCTGGCTCTGAAACCACTTTTTGCAAAAAATGCAATTCCTTTTTCTTATTCTCTAATTCTTTTGGAAATTTTTCAGTTACCATATATGAATTAAATTTTATCTCCTCCTCTAGCCTCTTCATTAAACCTTTAAAATATAAAATAAATAAATGAGTAGGTAGTGTGATATTCTGTATGCTGCTTTAAATATAAGACCTGGATATTAGTACATGTCTGTCAAAAGCACTCTGCACAACAGTGAGTACAGCACAATTAAACTGGTTATTGAAATCTTCTGCTGTTAATTACAGTGATTATAAAGCACAATTTGCATAATTATAGAAGGAGTGGGATTATGAACTTTCCAACTTTACAACCTAATTCTCTAATATCTCACAATATGCAAAATTAACATTTGCAGAATCACATATATTGTTGGGTCCTATTTTGCCTTCTAAAGTGTTTAAGAAATCAACCAAATGTAACACAAATGAAATCTATCACAAATATTCTCTTATACAAGAGGTTATTTATCCTTTTTCTTTTGCAATACTTCTCATGCAATTTATTCATTATAATTTGTCAACTTCAAACCAATGAAGACATTGCTAAAGATGCAACAAGTTAAAATCTGGAAAAGAGAAAGTATCTACATTCATAAACGTTTCAAAGTATCAGTTAACAGTTAAACAGCAATTTAAATTATATCACTAAGATTTAATAGGCTTTCCTATTTTGACAGATACACAAGTACACAGACACAAATTTTCAGTGAATAATGGTTTTGTTATAAATTCCCAGCCTAGAGAGCTTTATAAGGTTTATTTCAGATCTTTCCATTACACATTTACAAATTCTGGCTTAACTTTTTAAAACGATGGGTTTCCGGTTTAAGTAATCTGCGTACTTAGGTTGCATAATAAAGCTGGCCCGAAGCCTTAAAATTATTTTTGGTTCTATTGTGCTAACAGAACATGTAAAGATTTACTAATGGCAAATTCACAAGTTTTCCATTCATCCTTCAACCTACCCCCTTTTTTTCTCCCTTCCTGAGAGAAGGGAAAGTGTTCAATGAATTACACTATCATCAGGCAATCATTCCTACACGCTTTCTAAGTCTACATCCTGGCTTCTTTGGCTATTCGATGGTGAGCTTTTTCATCTCCAGGTTCTTAAACATATTCCATGTAACCAGAGATGTATGAAACCAACACCTAAATTTTTTTTTTAAATCTAGAACTCTGGGTTGGAGGTGTGGCCTAAATGGTACAGCACCCGCCCTGAAAACATGAATCCCTGAGTTCAAACCCCAGTCCCACCAAAAAAAAACCCCAAAAACCATAAAATGTAAAATTCCTAGCTGGGTGTGGTAACATGTAATCCCAGAACCAAGGAGTCTGAGGCAGGAGGACTACAAATTGGAGGTTAGCCTAGGCTATATAATGAGTCCCTATCTCAAAAACAAAACAAAATGCAAATTCTTAAATAATAATTTTTCTACTTAAAAAATTGCAAACTCTAGAAAACAAATACGAATCCTATAGTGATAGAAAGCAAAACAATGAATTCCTGGGGAAGGAGAGAGAAGGACATTAAAAGGGAGCACATTTGGGGGTAACAGATATGTTTGTTATTTTGTTTAAAGGTTGATGGCTTCAGCAGCCAACCAAAACTTATCAAGTATACCCTTTATTATGTATAGTGTAGTATGTCAGTTTTATCTCAATAGACCTGCTAAATAACAAAAGCTGAGTTTTCATCAAATTTTAAGTTCTTGTGCCAAATTTAGTGGCACACAGCTGTAATCCCAGCACTCAGGAGGTTGAGGCAGGAGGATCAAAAGTTCCAAGTGAGCCTGGGTTACATAGAGGGACACTATCTCTAAAAGCAAAAAAAAAAAATTTTTTTAAGTTCTTACCTAGAAGGTAACACCCACGCACAGGAAATCAATGTGAGTCAATGCCCTGTATAGCTATCCTTATCTCAACCAGCAAAAACCCTTGTTCCTTCCTATTATTGCTTATACTCTCTCTACAACAAAATTAGAAATAAGGGCCAAATAGTTTCTGCTGGTATTGAGGGGGGGGGAGAGGAGGGGGCGGAGTGGGTGGTAAGGAGGGGGTGGGGGCAGGGGGGAGAAATGAACCAAGCCTTGTATGCACATATGAATAATAAAAGAAAAATGAAAAAAAAAAAAAAGATGATTATCTCCAATAAAAAAAAAAAAAACTTAGACCCTAAGAGTAGACATATGTTTATATGCAACATTTTAAAAACATTATTTTTCAACATCCTAGAGAAATTAAATACAAAGTCCCTAAGTTCATAGCAAACTTTATTAAAAATACTCTGAAAGGGCTGGGGATATATATCTGTGGTAGAGCACTTACCTACCACGCAGGAGGCCCTGGATGAATGACTTCTCTTATGTAATAAATCTCATAAATGTGTAGCAAAGACAATTATATTAATGTCAGTGAATGTTGTATAATACAACTGTTACTCTATAAAATCACAAATTATATTGTTACATTAAAACCATTTTAACTGGGCACTGTGGCTTATGTCTGTAATCCTAGCTACTGAGAAGGCAGAAATCAGGAGGATCTAGTTTTAAAGCCAGCCCCAGGCAAATAGTTTGGAGACCCTATCTTGAAAACACAAAATGGGGCTGGTGGAGTGGCTCAAGCAGTGCCTGCCTAGCAAGCCTGAGGCCCTGAGTTCAAACCCCAGTACATACAAAAAAAAAAAAAAGTAAAAGTACTTTTTATGTTATTTAAGAAATTATGTAAATTATCTTTGTTACAAAAAAATTTAAGCAGACCTTGTTAAGCTAAATACCTAGATTAAAGATCTTTTCCTAGGTTACTGAATACAGCCTTATGGTTCCCAGAAAGATGTCAACCAAGCAACAACTCCTTAATCTCCAGCTCCACAGTTGCTATCTACCCAAAAAATACACCCACATAAAATAAATATAGAGTATCTTATTTTTATCTATATCTTCAGTCATTTTTTAAAAATGTTTCTTTTTTTACCTGCAGAAAACATAACTTTCCTTTTATCCATGGGTAAAGTTTAATTTCTACCTCTCACCTACTTAACAGAATAGTTATTAAATTGTTGATATACAAATTAACTATTGATCTTAACTTTTAAATGGCTGTAATTTAATGGATTTCTTTTGAAGATTCATCCTATATTTTTTTTCTTTTTTTTTTATTTCAGGGGACAGTGCGAACGCAGTCTCCCACTACCACAAATTGTGCAGTGGAGTTTCCCACATTTGGGGAAATCACAAGGATCAGCACATCCGGAGTGCAATGGATAAGCCTCACCCTGGGAAAACCACCTTCATGATCATGGTATCTCCTCTGCCAGGTAAGTATCATCCTATATTTTTAATGAAAGAACCCTATATCAAATCTAAAAAATATGTATTAAACAAATGTATACTCTCCTAAGGGGAAAATTATAGAAAACATTTTTCCTTTTGTGTTGAAAATTAATATTCTCCTAAAAAAAGGAAAACTTAGTAAATAAGTAATACAAATAACTAAATGCATATCTACTTCCAGGTATTGCTTGAATCAGAATTTATTACTGAGATGAGTGAGAGATTATGTGGAAAGCTACAAGTTAACATGTATTATTCATTCATCTTGAAAGGAATATTGTACTGGTTTCTTAAATATCAATACACAGACCAAATTTCCTTGACTTTTTTTTTTTGTGTGTGTGGTACTGGCATCTGAACTCAGAGCCTACACCTTGAGCCATTCCACCAGTCCATTTTTTATTTTCGTGATGAGTTTTTTCAAGATACGATCTCAAGAATTATTTGCCCAGGCTAGCTTCAAACCTGGTCTCTGATCTCTCCTTAAGTCATAGGATTATAGGCCTGAGTCACTAGCACCAGTGTTAACTTTTCTTTTGGGGGGAGATAGTATTGGGGTTTGAACTCAGGGCCTCACATTTGCTAGGCAGGCTCTACTGCTTAAGCCACTCCACCAGCCTTGTTTTCTGTTGCATATTTTTTTTGAGATCCCTAGGGGCTCACAAACTATTTGCCTCAGGCTGGCTTTCAACTGTGATTCTCCTGATCTCTGCCTCCTGAGTAGCTAGAATTACAGGTGTGAGCCATGGGCAACAGCTCCCTTCATTTTTAAGATATCATCAATTATAAGAAAGCATAATAATCCCAGCTACTCAAGAGGCAGAGACCAGGAGGATAGTGGTTTGAAGCCAGCCCAAGCAAGTTATCTGCGAGACCCTATCTCGAAAATACCCAACACAAAAAGGGCTGGCGGAGTAACTCAAGCTGAAGGCCCTGACTTTAAGTCCCAGTACGGCAAAACAGAAAAAATAAAAAGAAAGCACAAGCTAAATTAAAAATACCATATTAAATGTAAGATGTACCCCAATTGCAAATACAATTAAAGTAGGAAAATTTTATGTCTAGAATTAAGGAAAACCGTATTTTTTCTTTTAATAGCTTTATTGAGATATAAATTATGTGCCACAAAATTCACCCACGTAAGTGTAGAGTTCAATGTTTTTTAGTACATGCACAGTTATCAGTAGTCAGCACAATCAATTTTAGAACATAATCAGTTTCAAAGGAGATCTCCGAAATTGTTAACCATTACTTCCTACCTCCTGTTCCCCCCACCACACAGCTGTCCTCCTAGCCCTAGGCAATCACTAATTTGATAGAATTTCTCTGAGTTTTCTTGTTTTGGACATTTCATATAAACAGGATCTTACAATATGTGGTCTTCTGTGACCACTTACCTTTTTTTTTTTTTTTTTTTTTGCGGTACTGGAGCTTGAACTCAGGGCCTTCACCTTGGGCCACTTTACCAGCCCAATTTTTTGTGATAGGGTTTTTTGAGATAGGGTTTCTTGAACTATTTGCCTGGGCTGGCTTCAAACTACGATCCTCCTGATCTCTGCCTCCTGAGTAGTTAGGATTACAGATGTGAGCCACCTGTGCCTGGCCTTACCCATGTTTTTGAAGCTCATCCATGTCATAAGCATGTAAAACTTCATTCCACTGATGGCAGAACAAAATTCCATATTAATGGATATGCCACATTTTTTTAGTCCATTTATCAATTTGGGAACATATGGCTTGTTTCTACTTTTTGGCTATTATGAATAATGCTATAATGGACAGGGTTTTCAATTCTCTGGGCATATACCTTGGATTGAAAATGCTAACTATGTGTTTAGCATTTTAAGGAACTTGCCAAACTGTTTTCAGAGTCCCAACTTCTGCACATTCTTGTCAACACCTGTATTTGTCTTATCTTTCTTTCTTTTTTTTTGTGGTACTAGGGCTTGCACTCAGGGACTTCACCTCAAGCCATTCCACCAGCCCTTTTTTTGTGATGGGTTGTTTCAAGATAGTATCTCTAGAACTATTTGCCCAGGCTGGCTTCAAACTTTGATCCTCCTGATCTCTGCCTCCTGAGTATCTAGGATTACAGGTGTGAGCCACCAGCCCCCGGCTGTCTTTATCTTTCTTATTACAAACATTCTGATTATAGATTACTACAGAAAGATGAATCAAACCTCTATCAGCTAGATATTTACATTGTAGTATTTCTCAAATGCAAAAGAGAGCTTTGTACTGCTCTTCCAGTTTGGTCTCCCTTCTGAAGTGAAAAAACACTTATACAATGCCTAGGACTGGCTGAGTGGAGTAATCTGGGGTATCAGAGCAGTTTACCCTCTGTGTAAAGCTACATAAAAACAGGGCCAGGGTTACCCACATTATTAGCACTGTTACTCTACAAACCAAACCACGAAAAACAGTTTTAAGGGTCCAATATATCTTTTTTTCTTTATATCCTTGGCTTTAAAGCAATGATTCACATTTTTTTCTATCCATCTTTTTTTACAACATCCATCCTAAGCACTCAGAAGAACCTCCCTTCACAGTCAGTATCACTACCTTCACCCTCTGACTAAAAAATTGGGTAGGATTTTTTTTTTTTTTTTAAATCCATGGATGGCTTCATCAGGGCTCCCATTCACCAGCCAGGGAATGATGCTTCAAATGCTGACATACCACTCGATAATAAGATGATTAATTCCCATCAATTGACTGCTTTCACAAATATCCTGCTTTAAGTCAGTATTTTCTAATCACTTCTATTACATAATAACTTCCACTTACTTTCTGGCTTTGCATCTGCTGCAGCATGACGCATACTCTTCAGCTGGTTTTGTACTCTTTGCAATCTCTGCACTGCGTGGAATAGCTTTAAAATACAATTAGATTTGTTACTTGCTTAAGTCTATTGAAACTTACTACTCACATAGGCAAGTAATGGAAACTACACTATGACATAAAAGGAGCTAGTGATAAGCACTAAGAAAAGTACTATATTAAATGAAAATGTAACTGAATATCTTTTCTTATAAAATTTTTTAAAACCTTTCAGAATTTATTTATTTGAATTTGGCGATTAAGGAAAAATATTTGTTAGAGAAATATATGCATCAGGCTTTATTGGGCGTTTGAACTCAGGGCCTACACCTTGAGCCACTCCACCAGTCCTTTTTTTGTGATGGGTTTTTTCTGAGGTAGGGTCTCTGAACTATTTGCCCGGGCTGGTTTCCAATCTTGATCCTCATGATCTCTGCCTCCTGAGTAGCTAGGATTACACATGTGAGCCACCAGCACCAGGCTGAAATATATTTTTAATGCATAAGCCTCTCCAGACTTTAGCCAGAGTTTCTTATAAATAACAGTAATACTTTCAGGGGATTGGGAGTGTGGCTTAAGTGACAGAGTACTTGCTATCAAGCATGAGGCCCTGAGTTTAAACCCCAGTACAGCCAAAAAAAAATTTTTTTAAGTGATACTTTCAGGCCAAATAATTTTTTCCTTAAGAATGTGGGTGATTTTGAGCCTTTTCCTGATTTGTTTATTTTTGTCGCTGGAACAAAATTTACAGGGTATTGTGACCAGTGGAACAAAAAAGATGTTCTTATAGTCTCAGAATCTGAGCATGACCTTCAGAGATTCCAACAGTTTCAATAGCAGTTAATCTTACTGCTTCACATCACAATGAATCTTCTGTACAGTCAGAACAACATGAGCCAAGCATAGTCCAAAAGACTGTATAGCTACATAATACAGAGTACGGAATCCAAAAGGAGGTATTGTTGTTGCTATTGGTGCCACAAAATACTCTTTAAGAGTATTCTATCATGTTACCAAAGGGAAATATAAAATTCTAGAACTCTAAAATTCCTTTTTCTTTACATTTGAATGATCAAAAAGAGGTATTTCTCTCATCCTGAGAATATATACTTCATGTAGATACCTGATTCTTTTGTTCCTGTTTCTGTTGTGCAAGAAATTCTTCTCTCTCTTTCTCAACTCGAAGTTGCCTTGCTATTTTAAGCATCCACTGATGATTCTGAACTGTCTCCACCTACAGTAAAGAAATTAGTAGTACATGTTACTGTCAGATCTAAGACAGAAATTAACATGTCACATGACTCAGACATCCACTTATCATTTTGTTTTGGTAAACAGTATTCCCTTAAGAGATGACAGTGAAGCTGTGGACTCCAGGTTCCTAAAAGTTTTGCATTACTGTGTAGGGAGATTCCCTTTCCCCCAATGTTATTTGAGTCCATGCTCTCTGATAAACACCCATACATGGGTTAATCTTTATTGGCATTTCTAATTCCTTGCCAATTCTTGGGACTTGAGGCCAAAGTCTACAATGCTAATTCTTTTCTTTCCACTAGCCCTTTTTTTGTGATAGGTTTTTGAAGATAGGGTCTTGCAAATTATTTGCCCAAGCTGGCTTTGAACCTTGATCCTCCTGATCTCTGCCTCCTGAGTAGCTAGGATTACAGGTGTGAGACACCAGAGCCCACTACAGTGCTAATTCTTGACTTACCCTTTTCTTCAAACGTTCAACTCTCTTAATGAGCTGATCCTTTTCTTCTTCCATTGCATTGATATCCTAAAAAGTAGTACATAGAACATTAAAAGTGTTCTTAGCCTGTAGGATTTAGATGGTTTTATATGATTATGCATCTACCATTTGCATCACTTATAATCACAGTAGTAAGGAACAAAGATCCTTGTTTGGATAAAGAGCATTTTTATTTTCTCCCAGGATTCTTTATGCTGGGTAATTTTTTTTGGCAACTTGGTGTTCATCTAAAAAAAGCAACTAAAGCAGGTTATAACACAGTAAGATAAAGCTGCCAACCATCATATTCATGTTCTGATTCCAAATATGGGCACATGACTTTTCAAAAAATCTTCTGTAATGGAAAGTGTGCAGGTCTAAATACATGAGCAACAGCTGTTGACATCCCATCTGCTTTGTTAAATGTGAAACCATATATTCTGCCAATTTTCCATCAAAATTATTTTTAAGAGTATGGTATTCTCCAGACATAAATTTGTTTCTGGTTTTGTCAACCAAATCTCTTACCAAAAAGAAAGACTTTAAAAATTAATTACCTTTCTTTTAACCAGTTCCATAATGTTTTTTAACAAAAAAGAAATTAAAAAATCCTTTCTAAACCTAAAAGAATACAGTTTATCAATAACAGAATATTGATAAAATATATGTGGTAGTCAGTACTGGTAGAATTTAGGAAACGGGTACTCCTACAACTGGTAGCATTGTATTAAAGAATCATGTAAGAAGTCCTAAAATAAATGTCCATCTTGTCTAGCTCAGTAATTCTGTATTTGGGGATTTGTTCTAAAAAAGCATTCATGAAAAGTCACAGACTTCTCTGTAAGGATTCTCACTAATGCCAATTATATCTAAAATGTCTGAGGATCGTTAAATAATTACAGTAAAATACAATGAAAGTCATTAAAAATTGTGCAGAAGAATGTTTAATGGCATGAGAATATGCATGATATGACATTACTTGAAAGAAGCAAATTACAACTTTTACATATAGTATAATTCCAAGAAATAGATTTAACTATATTTACAAAAATACCAATAGTAGTTATCTCTACAGCACGGGATTGTGAGTGAATTATTTTCTATTTCTTGTGTAATCATGTTTCCTAGATTTATTACAGAGTATGTTCAAAAATATTTTGGTATTAATGAATGAAAAGTCAAGATTCTGGATTCTTTTATCATTTTGGTTTGCTCAGAGGATATAATGGAGGAACAGGAGAGGGTCTTCCAATCACTCTTCTGCTATAAGTACCTACTTATTAGAATTCTCACCTCCTAGATCTGAGTTCATTTTCCTTTCCTAATATTTAATACACTCCTACTGAGACCTACCACATGACAAGCACTGTGACATATAATCATACTCCTTGCCTTCACAGGGCTTAAACGTAGTTAAAAGACAGACAATAAAGTAGTTGTAAGTGTAATGTGTGCTATAAAACAAAAAGAACTGGGGAAGCTAATCTAATCAGGGAATCAGGGAAGACTTCCCAGAGGAAGTAACTTTCAATGTTCTCGATTTAACGAAAATATAAAGATGGCACTGATAAGTCAGGAATTGTAAAAATAACAAGAACTATGCAGGTTAGAATAGCAAATGTTTGGAGAAAACACTTAAATGCCTCATGAAAATTTAAAAATATTTTCTGGAGAACATCAAAAGTCCTAAAGAATTATATGTGATTTAATAACCAATTCCAGTCAGGCACTGGTGGCTCACGCCTATAATCCTAGCTACTCAGGAGGCAGAGATCAGGAGAATCGTGGTTCCAAGCCAGCCCAGGCAAAAAGTTGGCGAGACCCTATCTCAAAAAACCTTCACAAAAATGGGGCTGGTGGAGTGGTCCTGAGTTCAAGCCCAGTACTGCCCCCTCCCCCCCAAAAAAAGCAATTACACTTGTAAAAATTTATTCTAAGGAATCAATCACAGATATGAAAAAACTATGATGAAGATAATCATAGCATTACCTGAAATAGCAAAAAGTGAAAAAGCTAAAAATGTTCAGAATATAATTTTGTCATTAAAAATCATTTTGGGGGAGAAAAAAAGAAAAAAATCATTTTGAAAGGTGTGGCTCAAGTGGTAGAGTACCTGCCAAACAAGCTGAGACCTGAGTTCAAGTCCCAGTACCACAAAAAAAAAAGCAAATTAGAAGATATTTCCAAATGAACTGCAATGAAAATAAAGTATATTAAAAATTTAAAGGTAAGAATGAAAAATATTCACAATAATTTAAAAAGCAAGATACAAATAAGTATGCATAATGTGATCTCAAATGCATATAGAAATGATGTTTTCTTCTTTGTTCTTTTCTGTATTTTCTTTATCAGTGTATGAGATACATACATCAGATAAAGACTCAAAATGCAATCTTGTTAAATCCTTGCTAGAGGTCTATGTAATGCTTAAGAACTCAATGTAAATTTTCCCTGGCCTCATTCATTTCTTCAGTAAAGAACTACCAGAGATCCTACAAAAGAAAAGTTATCATTATAGACTTAAAACATACCAAAGTAACTCAAAACAAAAATGCTAAATCTAACATCATTCAAATTCAAACCAATATTATATTTTTTCTTCTTTACCCTTCTTATTTCTGCTGTTGAAAATCCAGATGTCTTAAGCTGTTCACATTCTTTATGCAAAGTTTTAAAGGCTTCCATCAACTCTTCATACTAAAAGAATAAGTTAGTAAGTTATAAACTAGTGATTAGACCAAGTAGAATTTTCTTAATCAGGTTATCTATTAACTTGTAGTGATCACTTAAATCACTGTAAGTACAACATTAAAAACACATTCTTAAGCACTCATATAGCACACAAAAAAGTAGTGTGGCCACTAAATACTTCTCCAGCTTCATCTCTGGATGAAATATGTTGGCCTTCCTTCAATCCCTGGAAATCCCATATTCTTATCTCCAGCTTATGTATCCTATTCCCTCTTAAAACACTGTATGACTCCTTTACCCTAAACTTGGGTAACTCTGACTCATCCTATGGATCTCACTACAGATGCCACTATTCTCAGAGAAGGATTTTTAGGCCCTGCACCTAGCACAGTAGACATCATATAAAGTTAGAACTGACTAGTTACTTATTTATCTCCCTTCCTTAGACAGTGATGCCCAGGAAAACAAGATTCATATTCATTGTGTATACCTTTGTATATCAGGGGCCTACCACAGTGTATAATCCTTATAGATGTTCAACAAAGAGTAGTCAAATAATGAAAAAAAAATTACAACTGATTTTATTAACTTTATTTATTTTAATATTTATTAAGAATAGTATTTTGGGCCGGGTGCCAGGGGCTCATGGCTGTAATCCTAGCTACACAGGAGGATCACGGCTCAAAGCCAGCCCAAAGGGAAATAGTTCGGGAGTTGGGGGAAATAGTTTGAGAGACCCTATCTCGAAAAACCCTTCACAAAAATAGGGCTGGTGGAGTGGCTCAAGGCGAAGGCCCTGAGTTCAAGCCCCAGTACCACAAAAAAATATATATATATATAGTATTTTGGGTTTAAGGTGTAACTCAGTAGTAGAGTGTTTGCCTATCATGCACAAGACCCTGGGTTTGAACTCAGGACTTCATGCTTGCTAGGCAGGCACTTTATCACTTGAGCCACTCTGACAGCCCTTTCTGAGTTAGGTTGTTTTTTTTGCAGTACTGGGGTTTGAACACAGGGCATATACCTTGAGCTACTCCACCATCCCTTTTTTGTGATGGATTTTTCAAGATAGAATCTCGAAAACTATTTGACCAGGCTGGCTTCCAACCTTGATCCTATTGCTCTCTGCCTCCTGAGTAGCTAGGATTACAGGCGTGAGCCACAGGAATCTGGTTTGAGTTAGGGTCTTGCAAACTATTTCCCTGGGCTAGCCTCTAACCACATTCTTCCTGATCTCTACCTCCCCAAGTAGCTAGGATTACAGCCATGAGCCACCGGCATCTGGTGGAAATTAATACTTTTAACTGATTTTTCTCCTACAAATCTACAAATTATTCATTCTAAAACTCTTCATTCAGAAAGACAATATGAATTTTTTTAGTGTCTTTGCTAAATGAGGCTAAATGTGTAAGTCATTTTATTCATAGACTCCTCAGATGTGCTTTATAAATGTCTTTATTATCATTAATTCTTTTGTTAACCAGTTGAGCATATTTAATAAAAGCTATTAATAAACTTCCTCTAGAGAACTTAAGTTTTATTGAATTTGTTCTTGGGGAGGTATGAAGAGAACATATTTTGCATTTGTATTTCTCTATTTCCTATGTCATAAAAATTTTCGAGAGTGGAAATGGGTAGTTTCAGTCTGCTCTGCTTCTTCTATGGCATCTACTGTGACATTGGCAATAACTATCCGCACAGATATTGTTTTTTTGGTTTTTTTTTGCAGTACTGGGGCTTGAACTCAGGGCCTACACCTTGAGCCACTCCACCAGCCTCCCCTCCACCTTTTTTCATGTGTGATGCATTTTTCGAGATAGGGTCTCGGGAACTATTTGCCAACGCTGGCTTCGAACCCATGATTCTCCTATCTCTGCCTCCTAAGTAGCTAGGATGACACGTGTGAGCCACCAGTGCCAGGCAAAGATATTGTTTTGAGAGGACAATACTGACTATTTGAGTGTCATATCCACCCAAAGGAATAAAACATATGGGTAAAAAAAAATAAAAACATTCAGTTGATTGCTTTAATTCATTCCAAATACTGAGCAACTAACATATAAAAGCAACTACACAAAATCATGGAGGAAAACAAAATAGATTATACATAACACCTGTCCTTGCTGACCTCATAGTGTATTGGGAAAGACAGATTGACGAACTAGTCACAACAAGCTGGCACAAATCAGTCTAAGTGCTATGAAATAAAAGTACTAAACACTAAACAAAACAGGTACTAGAGAAAAGGTTAGATCAAAAAGAATTAACCTAGAAGGTAACACCCACGCACAGGAAATCAATGAGAGTCAATGCCCTGTATAGCTATCCTTATCTCAACCAGCAAAACCCCTTGTTCCTTCCTATTATTGCTTATACTCTCTCTACAACAAAATTAGAGATAAGGGCAAAATAGTTTCTGCTGGGTATTGAGGGGGGGGAGTGGGAGGGGGTGGAGTGGGTGGTAAGGGAGGGGGTGGGGGCAGGGGGGAGAAATGAACCAAGCCTTGTATGCACATATGAATAATAAAAGAAAAATGAAAAAAAAAAAAAAAAAAAGAATTAATCTAAATAACCCAAAAAATAAAATAAATAAATAAAACCATACTGGATTTTAGTAAAAAAAATAAAAAATAAAAATAAACACTAAACAAAGGCAGGATTTTTTTAGTTAGCATCCTTTGACATCTAAGCCTGATTTCTCTCTGACCAGTAATGTGCTTTGGAATTCCAGAGGAGTCAGACCCACCAGAATCCTCAGTTTTTAAGAGCTTTAAGACCTTAAGCTAAACCCAATGTTACTCCAAACTCTGGTAAAAAGAAAATGCAGACTTCCAACTCCCCAGACTTATCTCTAGCTCCTTTTCCTCCTTCCTTACACAGGGTTAACATATTCCCACTGGTCTAGGGTAGCAGCGGTTTCTACCATTCATCCTGGTGCAATTACTATGATAGCCTGTTTCCCTCTAATTTGGATAACAAATTATATCTTCACCACACTGATCAAAACAAAGTGCCGTGCAGTCTCAAGTCCAGGATTCTGTCTACCAATAACTGCTAAGTAAAAATCTTACTTTCAGAAGTCTTATATCTTACCCACATACTCCCATAACTAAAATGATATTAGTGTGCAAAAGTCATTATTTTAAGATGTGGCTAGCTGGGCGCCAGTGGCTCATACCTATAATCCTAGCTACTCAGGAAGCAGAAATCAAGAGGATCAAGATTCAAAACCAGCCCAGGGAAAAGTTTGTGAGACCTTACCTCAAAAAAACTCATCACAAAAAAGGGCTGGTGGAGTGGCTCAAGGTGGAGGTCCTGAGTTCAAGCCCCAGTACCAGGGGGGAAAAAAAAAAAGTTATGGCTACAGCTGACCATGAACTGATACTATCTTACCTTTGGCACTACCTAGAACTACAGAAATTGCAATTAAAAGGAGATTAACACATACTTAAATATGTGCACCTTGAAATCCATTATAAATAGTTTCAAAATACCAATTATATACTGTGTACCTGTTTGTTGGTATCAGCCACAGTTTCATCCTGAAGAAACTCACTTGGTACCTCAAGTTTTATTAAAAAACGAGCTAAATATGCTCTTTTCTTCAGTTCATTAGTTCTCTGAAGTAGCCAATGGAGCACTGGATAAATTACAGGTTTACTTCCAATCACTAAACCCTGTCGAAAGGTACTCCTAAAAAAGAAAAAGACACACACGCACACACACACACATGCTCATTAGTACAGCTGGAAAAGAGTCAGCCTTTGCTCAAAATCTGATTTACAACATCCTAATTGCATCCTATAAATACTTTTAAAAGATAAACTCAAGGCTATTCTAAAGTCAGTCTTATATTAATTAGAAAAATTTTAGGGAGATGGTGGAGGCAATCTAACCAATGTACAATGTAAGGCTTTTTGAAAATGTCACAAAGAATTCCCCCTATACAATGAATATATCCTAATAAAAATGGAAAAAAGAAATTTAAAAATTAGGTCCTCAGTATATCATTGCAGTATCCAATAAAGTTGTGTTGCATAGTCAATGCTTCACTTCATTGACAGTGCTGAAGTTTTTTTTTAATCTAGGATGGCAGATAAGTGATAAAATGGTGTTTACCTAACTTTCTTGGTTAGGGGAAAGAATTGACCAATTTAAGACTTCTGCCTGACAAAGCAGTATTAGAAGGATTAAGACTATTTTGAAATTCAGCGAGGCTATCCAACCCAGGAGACCAGTATTGCCTAAAAAAGACTGAGTGTAGCATACAAAGGTTTGGGTATTAAAACATGGTTTTAAGAAAGCATTCCATGAGCCGATTCTTACATGTCTGTGGCATTTCCTGGAGGTTTGTATTTAAGGATACCAAGAAGGCTCAACATCCGTTTGGCGGTCTGCTCTGGCATCTCCTCTCTGATATCAACAACTTGCTAACAAATAAAGGAATTGAAAAATATGTTTATTGTTGTATATCTAACAAAGAACAGTTTTTAAACTCACTGTTTTGCTAGAGCATAACAGGCATAATTGACTCTTCATAAAACAGATTCCAATGAGGGAACACACAAGTCAGATTAGGATTCATATTAAGAATGTCAACCTTAAAAAGAAGTCTCCAATGGAAAACACCAGTGTTTGAAAGACATGAGCTAACTTGCAACACAATAAAACCTTTCGTAAAAGCATTTTAATTCCAGGACTGAATCTATTTATGTCTAGAAGTAGAAAAATAATTTCTAAATAAGGTGAAAGTAGATCATTTAAATTTGGAATTAATAGAGAAACCATAAAGATTATTTAATATTACTTTACAAGCATGGCAAATAAGGCCCAGAGAGGTTAAGCAATTTGCCCAAGATTCACAGCTATTTAGAGGCAGAAAATGGCTGTCCTGCCACCCTTTTCATTACAAAGAAAGAGAAAATGCTTACCTTTGGGTCAATCTCAGCCAGTACATCACTGAGAACTTGTAATAGTTGCATTGGTTCCAGGGAATCAAATGTGATTAAATTATAGTTCTTCTTGAAAGGCTCCTTATTGAGATTGTCCACAATGAATTTGATTTGATCACTCATTATTAGGTCTTAGAACTTAAAACTGAAGAGTAAAAATAGTGAAAAAATCCTCAATATTAGTAGCAAAAGTTCTAGGGAAAAGTCAGAATTTAGTTCATAGGAAATAGGCATGAAAGGCATAATTCTGGATGGCATACATACACAATGTTGTGAGAGGTTTACTTTATTGAAAGAAGTCACAGTATGAAGACTTCATAGCTGCAGGATATACTGTTAATACTTATCAAATGTTTTTGTATATACCTCCAATATGACAGCAATCTCCTGAATTAACACTGAAAAATGAATTAATAAACCCTACATTAATACCTCTATACAGCTGCACAATTTTTACACAGGAACTAAACATTTGGATGCAGACATGCTTCTACTTGTTTTTTAAATTAGCAGCCCATATGTAAACCACTGAGAGATTTTTACATTAAAATCCAAAATTTTGTTTCTCTTGAAACTTGAGCAGGATTGCACACTTCAGCCTGGGGATGTACTCTAGTATTATTTTGGTTTCTGCCAAGCACTCTTTCCCCCATTTCTGTTACAGCTTGGCCTGAGAGGCCTCAACTCAGCCACCCAGAGTAACTTAGGCCTTCATTTTTCTTTTGCTTTCAATGAGGACAGCTTCCAGTTCCCTGGTCTATGCTTCTCCCCATTCCTACTCATTTGTAGTCTTCTTGCTGTATATGAAACAACACCCAAGCCTCTTGGATTTCAAGACTTTTATGACCTAGCTCAATTTAACCTTTCCCAACTTTATTTTCCAAATTCTTACCTTTCACCTTTTCAAACCTCACCCTTGAAATAGTTACAGCTCCTTACACACTTTTTCCACCTCTCTACCTTCAGCTGATGCTGTTTTCTCTGCTAGAATGACAGCTCCTGCTTTCCCCTCCATCCTGAAGGGCAAATCTCAACCATCTTTCAAGCCCTGTCCATTCAAGTGCAAATTCCTCTCTCAGGCTATCCTTGGGTTCTGCAGGAGCGGAACAGCACCTGCCCTCCAAGCTGACCATAGCTCATCTGCACTGTTTTTCCTAAGACTACTTTTTGTCCTGTACTAGTTCCTTAATGAACACATTTTTTTTCCTCTGCAAAAACTTTAAATTCCGTGAAGACGGTATCTCCGTTGAACACTCACTGGATCCAAAACAGTGACTTCTTCCACTAGAATGAACTTGTTCACAGGCTTAAGGCCAGAGAAAATGGAAGCCTGTGATGAAAGTATCTTAAGTTTTTAAAAAAATTGAGTATCTCATTTCTTAACTGCTGAATCAGCTTTAGCAAGGTAAATTGCTTTAGCAATTAAAAAATGAACTAAGGAGGGAGGGAGGGAGGGAGAAAGGAAGGAAACTACCTCAGTGCTCCCCAGTAGTAAAAACTATAAAATGGAAAGATGCTATTTTATTCAAGACTTAAGTTGGGGGTGATCAGCATCTTGTTCTGAAATGGATTTTTAATGGGCAACTGAAACTGGATATTTACAAACCATCAAACTGTAAAGATATAATCATTTCTCCATAATGATAAAATTATGAGCAACTAAAATAGTAAAAAAAAAAAAAAAAAGCCAAATCAAAAATAGATAGGACAACCAGTGTAGCTTATAAATTTCAAGTTTCTTTTACGCTTATATAAAAGGAAAACGTTTACGTAAGTTTAAAAATATCTACACTGGAAGTGCAAGTTTTCAACTGCTAAAAGTATTTTGAGTAAAAATTCAAGCCACAATCTTCACATTCGAATCCACTTAATTTTAAATTATTTAGAAATTATCGATAGGACTACTTTTCCTCTTTCAAAAAAACAAAACACAAAACCGCACACAAAAGCAAACCAAAACTCTAGATAACGGAGTAAAACGTTCCCAGGAAGGGTCAAGAAAGTGATGGGCTGCCCACTCGCTTTCCAATGGCCGCAGGCTAAGGACAGAGCAGCACCGAGCAGGTGTGCCTGCGCCCCGCGGGCTCTGCGCTCTAAAATTAGCGAAGCCATTACGCTCGCGCGCCCCGCGAAGTGGCCACGCCAATTCGCCAGCGCCCCCCACGCCGGCCCCGGGGGCGCGGGGATTCAAACCAGGACGGGCGCTTTATCTGGCACAGCTCGGGACGGGAACGACGCTGCCCTGGTCCCACAGGGCACGAGCCGCCCGGGAGTCCCAGAAATAGTGTCCCAAGCCCGGGGGGGAAGGGGGTCCCCACACCCAACCCGGAGCGCTGGAGGCTGCTCTGGGCTCCCCGCCGGCTCATCCACGGGCCAGCGGCCTGCATCCCGGCGAGGCCTGGCGGGGCCCGACCTCACACGGGCGGGCTTCGCTGCTACGACCCGTCCTCTTGCGAGGCGCAGCACCGCGACCGGGAGGGGGGCGGGAGTTCTCCCCTATTTCAGGGTTTGGGGGAGTTTCCGACCGCGAGTTGGCGAGGTTACCTCAAATTCTCCTCACGAAACCACTTCCCCACCCCACCCCCCCAGGAGGCACTCGGGCTGTAGCGGGCACCTAGAGACAGCTCCTTGGCAACGGTTGCTAGGACGTAGTTGTACGTCACTTCCGGCGAGGTCGGGAGCGCGCGCTGGGGGCGGGTCCCCAGGCAGGGAAGACGGAAGAGCGTTGGGCGCACGTGGATGGTGGGTTCCCAGGTCCTGAGCCCTAGCGGAAAGCTGAGCGCTTTGAAGACGTAGATGCTTGGCAGTGACCTTCCCCCGACGTCCTACAGTTCGCGTTTTATAAAGTGCTGTGTGTGATTAGGTTAGACTAGATACGTGTGCCATTTCGTTCCATTTATTCATTTATAAAGCAAGCATGAGCTTTATAAATTTGCCAGTTGCACAAAGCATAGGAGTAAGTTCAAAATACTTTCTTCAAAAACGTACTTTGAAGCAGGGCTGGTGGGGTTTGGGGTGAGGAAGCGTTTTAGCCTGGGCTTCAAATTTAGGTTTTCGTCGTAAGTACCTCCAAATTAGGTTATACACAGCAACAATTGGAGTCTAGCAGGATGAAAAGACACATTCTTCATCTAGATCTCAGCTTCTATGTCACATTATTGGGCCACCGTTGCTTGTACTGGGAATTAATTTTTTAATCCAGTAACTTTTTAATATGCTGAGAGCCTGGGGGGGGGAAGGAAATGGATTAAAAACTCCTTTTGGCCTCGGAGAAGCTCTCTGGCCAACATGCAGAAATTAATTAAGTCGTCCTTATGTTTTTATGGAGTTCACATCCTGCAGTGTGCAGGGAGATTTGGTGTGTGTTGCGGGGGGCAGGTGCTGGGGTTTGATTGAATTTAGGGCTTACACCTTGAGCCACTCCAGCCCTTTTTTGTGATGGGTTTTTTTCAAGATAGTGTCTCAAGAACTACTTTGCCTGGGCTGGTTTCGAACCTTGGTCCTCCTGATCTCTGCCTCCTGAGTAGCTAGGATTATAGGCGTGAGCAACTAGTACCTGACCTGCAGGGAGATTTTTGTGTCCAGGTCACTAATTAGGTTTAGAAGATCCCCTAAGTTGCACTGGCTGGTCTGCTTTAGTGGAGGTCTTTGATGGTAGATAGTATTTTGAATCTACCCCTATTATAAGAAAATCGCTGTGCTTTGTGATATCAGTTGGCAATGGATTAAAAAAAAAAAATCAAACTCCTGTCCTGAAAACTGAGTCACCTGCTCTGATATCATAGGAGAAACCAGTTACAGATTTCATCAAACTTACAACCCCCTCCCCCCCAAAAAAGTAAATTATGTACAGGCACTTCTTAATGCCCTGCACTGTGCTGGCTACTGGGAATGCTGTAGGGGCAGGCCTTACCTGGCTCTGGCCCTCATGGAGCCCACAGTCTAGTGTAGGAAGAGAAGCAATTAAATAGGGCCAGGACTGAGATAAGTGCAATAAATAAAAGGACCCATGATGCTAAAGCCCACATGAAGAGACCCAAAGTTATTTGGGGAAGAGGCGCTGAAGGGAACATGCTATCAGGAAAGCTTCCATCAGACAGCAATATTGAAGAATCAGTAAAAATTTGCCAAACAAGAAAGGGGAGTTATCAGGCAGAGGGAACAGAACATTCCACAACCAGTCCCATTGCTGGCTGCTTTCTCACTGTTGGGGAACTATCACAGGAAGATACCCTGTGGGGTGCTTAGACAGAAACTAAGCACCAGCTCACAGATGCTCACAACCAACCAGGGGAGACAACAGTTAAATCCTTGAAAAATTAAGTAATTTAAATAATCTTGGGAGAAACAATAGCAGATTTGTATAAAGTATTATTATACAGATCCTATTGAATGTGTTAGGACATGCTTCTGGCTGCCTGGGTTTGAATCTTGGGTCTGCCATTGTTTGGCCTTGGGAAATTTCCTCCTAGCTCTGGGCCTTCATCGTACCTCCCTCAACTGCGTTGATGTGAGGAGTAAGTGAGTTGATACAGGTGAAGCAATTAGAGCAGTACCTGACATTAGGAAGCACCAAAGACATTTCACCATTTTGCTTTTCTTTTTTCAAATGAGATAGTCAGATTTGCTATTCAATAAGGTGGACAGATAAAGGCGATAGAATAACAGTGGCTTATCAGTTTTTAGTTCCTCCTCCACCTGTGATTGCTGTTGTGTAAACATGACTTTTCAGTTATGAGCATTCAATCCTGTGTCAATTCCAGTAAGCAGTGGAATGCTGTCTTTGCACTCAAACTTAAATGGAATTTATGATTAATATGGGTGCTGGGGAACACGGGGAAGAATAGGAGGGCAGTCAGCATGTTTCCTGGGATCACTCTTTAGAGAAGTTTATATTCCAACTTGGAGCAAAGAAAAAGAGACCCGCACACACAGGGTCCTGGTAAACCAAAGGAAGATTTGTTATCACCCGTGATTCATTTAAGATAAAGCCTTGGGTAGATTCCTGGGTCTAAGAGGAAATTCTCAGTAATCGTTTCACAACAGGGAGGCATTGGCTGATTCTGTCTCAAGTCAAGTCACCCATAGGAAGTCTTTTTTTCCCTGAGATGCTGTGTCAAGTCTTCTGTGGACCCTCCCATTGATGCCTTTTGGCTGAACTGTAATTGAGTTCCTTAATAGCTGGAGCGAAGTTCTAGCCACATGGGACAGCTGTTCTGAAGCTTCCATTTCTACACACTCTCTCTTTTTTTTTTTTTTTCAGGACCAGGGAATCAAACCCAGAGCCTTGCACATGCTAGGCAAAGAGCCCTACCCCTAAGCTACACCCCAGTCCTTCTTTTCAATAGCTTTGTTGAGATATAATTGATATGCATACAGTTCACCCAGGGAAAGTGCAAACGTTACTGGCTCTTTGAGTATTCCCAAAGGTGTGTAAGCATTGCTACTGTCTTATCCCTGAGCATTTTTATTACCCTAAAAAGAAACCTGTAACCTTCTGCCATTAACTCCCAGTTTGCAAAGCTCCCTACCCATCCCTCCAGCCCTGGCAACCACCAATTTACTTTTGTTTCTATGGATTTGCCTCTTCTGGACGTTACATATAAATGGAATCATAAAACGTGGTCTTTCGTGCCTGGCTTCTTTCACTTAGTATGATGTTTTTAAGGCTCAACCATGGTGTAGCATGCATCAGTAGTTTCTTTCTTTTTTATAAACAAGGAATGCTGCACTATATGGATAGACCACATTTGTTTATCCATGTTTATCTGATGATGGACATTTGGGTGGTGTCCACTTTTGGGGTGTTGTAAATAATGCGTCTGTGAACATTCATGTACATACCTTCACCCTTTTGTTATAAAGATTTTGCTGGCTAATTCACATGAACTTCCCCTTCCAACTGCCTTATTTAACTGTGTAGATATGTCAGGGACTGTCCACAGTTGTGAACCTCTGCTCTAGTTATACAAAGGGGGAAAACAGTCCTGGTAAAGAGACTTTTTAAAGACTTACTATAAGATAGTTTACTATAATATAAAAAATAAGATGAGGGGTTATTTTATTAGTTATGAAGTCATTTGATACTACTACCTTTAGGTACAGCTTGATCTAGGAGGTCAGTGATATTATCTGGATATTCTTTCTCCCTCCATGTCTGTCTCTCATCCCTACTTTCTTCTGAATGGGCTGCTAGCCACAACAGGTTCATATTCTGCCAGCCTAGTGACCACTGAAAAGTAGAACCTTTTCTCCAATAGTTTCAGCAAATTCCCAGGGCAGTCTCTCACTGACATTTGGGTGTGCCAGACTAGTCTTTTTTTTTTTTTTTTTTTTTTGGCAGTACTGGCGTTTGAACTCAGGGCCTACTGA